GAGACGGAAAGCAGATTAGTGGTGCCAGGGGCTGGAAGATGGGCCAGACATGGAGAGTGACTGCTTAATGGATATGGGGCTTCCTTTGGGGGTGATGAGAATTTCTGAAACTAGATAGGGGTGATGCTTGAGCCACACTGTAAATGCACGTGATGCCGTTGTACACGTTAAAATGGTCAGAAGGTTAATTTTATGTTATGTGTATCTTAACATGATAAAACCAATGAAAGAAAAAAAAAATCAAGCAGTGCCTTTGAGAAGTTCAGGGTTTGTGGGAGAATCATCTGGGCTTCTGGTCAGCCCCACCGAGCCCAGTAAATTAGATCCGTTTAGGGCAATCCAGGAAGTTGCATCACCTGCCGGGTGATTCCTAGGTAGAGAGGAATCTCACACTCTGCAGAACAATGGCTTTGAGGCAGATGGTTTTGTTTTTTGGGTTTGTTTTTTTTTTTTAATTGGAACATGCCATATGTGCTATTTTCCCGTCCCAGCTGTCACAACCCATGCATTCGCAGCGAGCAGTATGCCCACACCTCAGCAGCTGTTGGCGGGGAGGAGTGTTGGTTCTAAGTGGCTGTGGTGGTGATGGTGCTGCTGACGGCAGCAGACGCAGTGTTGGTGGAATTGTAGCACTCGTCGTCGCAACGGATTGTGGGAGTGATGCAGCCAGGAACACCCGGGTCCTTGTTGAAGGGCTGGATGGGGAGGTTGCTCCATGTGAGGGCTGGGTGGAAGGAGGCCATCAGGATCCCAGTTTGGGCAAGACAAACCCCTCACTGGCTAGACTCAAGTCATCTCCAAGGGGCTCCATCTCAGACAAGGTGGAACAAGAAGGCCCGGGCAAAAGCAGAGACTGGCAGTGACCAACACTGGGATTATGGAATGTCTGCTCATTTCAGATAAGACCTATTTCCTGAGCAGGGGTTAACTCATCACAGATGGGGTTGGATAAGAGACTGGCTCTAAGTCAGAGCTACTCCAAGAGTGTTCACCAAAACAGCAGTGGCAGCCTTGTGGAGCTTGTTAGAAATGTGAATTCTTGGGCCACACCCCAGACCTACTGGCAATCCTCATGCATATACATATATACATACATACATACATACATATATGCCATATGCATGTATATATACAAATATAGCTGATTCATTTTGTTGTACAGCAGAAATTAACACAACATTGTAAATCAGTGTGCTAAGTCACTTCAGTCATGTCCAACTCTTTGTGATGCTATGGACTGAAGCCCTCCAGGCTCCTCTGTCCATGGGTTTCTCCAGACAAGAATACTGGAGTGAGTTGCCATACCCTCCTCCAGGGGATCTTCCCAACCCGGGAATTGAACCAGCATCTCTTATGTATGTCTCCTGCATTGGCAGGTGGGTTCTTTACCACTAGCACCACCTGGGAAGCCCAACTATATACTCCAATAATTTTTTTTAAATTAGTGCATACGAAAAAGAAGAAACAACATCTAAACTTGGGCTGATTATCTTGAGTCACCGTACCTTGAGGAGAATTACACATTCAGTAAGTCTCATTGTCAAGACTTGATACTAGGAGGGTTGAGAAGTACAGATAGAACCCAATCCCAGACAGTGTGGCCACTTCCAAGCTCACATCCATGTGGTGCCCAGGTTCAGGCACATGTTTTGGGAGCACATGGAGATGAGTCTTCTAGGTCAACACTTTTCTCTGAACAGAGTTTAGAGTCAAGGCACTAGACTGATGTTTTATTCTCCAGTACCACTGAAATTGCAGGATCTGGATGAAATTCTGTGATAATGATTTTTGCTTTGATTCTCCCTGTTTGTAACTTTCTTGTTGCAATATGTACTCCTTAAGTCTGGATGATGGCTGTTCCTTTTATTGTGAAGAAGCAGATAGATCTCCTTTCTGGTCCCTTCCCATCAAGGGCAGTAGTTGCCTCTCCCCTCTTGACCTCAAATGTTATTGATCCAAACCTTAAGAAACACGAGCATTCCCAAATGGGTCTAGACCGATTTAGGATTGGATTTGGTAACACTTGTAGGTAAACATTTATTTTTGCAAAGTTGCTGTTTTAGTCGCTGAGTCATATCCAACTCTTTTGTGAGCCTGTGGACTGTAGCCTGCCAGACCCCTCTGTCCAGGGAATTTCCCAAGCAAGCATACTGGAACAGGTTTTCATTTCCTCCTCCAGGGGATCTTCGAGACCCAGGTGGATTATGTACCATTGAGCCATCAGGGAAGTCCTTAGAAGTGAGTTTTTATTGTCTTCGCTGAGTCTGCCAGTGAGAAAAATCTTATGTAAAATGTTTTTCTTGCTGTCATTATAATGTCCAGGGGTGGTTCCGTCTGTTAAGGATGATAAAGGATCTTAGGTGATGGGTGTGACATTTCTTACTGCTGTCAGCTTGAGGATTTGTTTCCTTCCATGGTGAGCCTAGGGGTCTTGTTTGTATTCGGTTAGCTTGTGGACTTTCTCACTTTAAACTGAAAAGTGAAAGTGTTAGCCTATTAGTCGTGTCCAACTCTTTAGGATTCCAGGTGCCTCTGTCCATAGCATTCTCCAAGCAAGAATACTAGAGTGGGTTCAGTTCAGTTCGGTCGGTCAGTCGTGTCCGACTCTGTGACCCCATGAATCGCAGCACTCTAGGCCTCCCTGTCCATCACCAACTCCCGGAGTCCACTCAAACCCATGTCCATTGAGTCAGTGATGCCATCCAGCAATCTCATCCTCTGTTGTCCCCTTCTCCTCCTGACCTCAATCTTTCCCAGCATCAGGGTCTTTTCCAATGAGTCAGCTCTTCGAGTCAGGTGGCCAAAGTATTGGAGTTTCAGCTTCAGCATCAGTCCTTCCAATGAATGTTCATTACTGATTTCCTTTAGGATTGCCTGGTTGGATCTCCTTGCAGTCCAAGGGANAGATTTCTCAAGAGACAGGACAGGTGGTCTGGCATTCCCATCTCTTTAAGAATTTTCCATAGTTTACTGTGGTCCACACAGTCAAAGGCTTTGACATAGTCAATAAAGCAGAAATAGATGTTTTTCTGGAACTCTCTTGCTTTTTCGATGATTCAGCGGATGTTAGCAATTTGATCTCTGGTTGCTCTGCCTTTTCTAAAACCAGCTTGAACATCTGGAAGGTCACGGTTCGTGTATTGCTGAAGCCTGGCTTGGGGAATTTTAAGCATTACTTTACTAGCATGTGAGATGAGTGAGTGGGTAGCCATCCGCTTCTCGGGGGGAATCTTCCCAACCCAGGGATCAAACCCACATCACCTGCATTGCAGGCAGATCCTTTACCATCTGAGCCAAGGAAGTGACTTCTAAATCTCAACACCCTGGTGCCCTCAAGCTGTCACTTCTCTGTTCAACCAGTACCAGCTTTTCTAGAAATCAGTCCCGAGCTGTCCTGCTCACTCACTTCTCCCTAAACTCACCCTGTCCCCAAAGGACCCAGCTATATCCAGAAGGGAATTCATTTTTTTTCCTCACTGGTCCTGTTAGGAGTCTACTATTTGTCTAGATCAAATGGCCTGTTCTTAGCTCTCATCTTCTCTAACGCATTTGACTTTCCTAACATTGGATGTTGACAACTCTTTGAGAATAGGGATTGTGTCATTGTCAGCCATGGAGGCGCTCTGTAAATATTTGTGACATGAATGTACAGCTTCTCCTTTCAGAAACTCTACCCTTGATTTGGGCTTCCCAGGTGGACTAGTGGTAAAGAACCTGCCTGCCAATGCGGGAGATGTAAGAGATGCTGGTTTGACCCCTGAGTCGGGAAGATCCCCTGGAGGAAGGCATGGAAACCCACTCTAGCATTCTTGCCAGGAAATCCCATGGAGAGAGGAATCTAGTGGGCTACAGTCCACTTTCACTTTCATATTGTGAAGTAATTGCTGCGGTAAGCTTAGTTAACATCCTCGTCTCACACTGCTATTAAAAATTAGAAAGAAAAATTGTGAGTGTTTTTTTTTTTTCCTTGTGATGAGATGATGATTCTCAGGTACACAAGAGTATCCCTTTATGACTGTGGAGTTAGACACATTTGGCCTGCGATTCGTCTCTTCTGCTCCTAGGTTGTGCCCTTGGAACAGGTGAGCCTCCCTAAGACTGTTCTTTTTAAGAATTGTTTATTTATATTCATGTATTTATTTAGCTTTGGCTGTGCTGGGTCTCCGTTGCTATGCAAGGGCTTTCTCTAGTTGCAGACTACAGGAGCTACTCTAGTTGCTGTGCAAGGGCCTCTCATTACAGGCTTCTCTTGTGGAGCAAGGGCTTCAGAGCGCAGGCTCAGGAGTTGTGCATGAGCTTATCTGCCCTGCAGCTTGGGAGGTCTTCCCCGACCAGGGATCAAACCCGTGTCCCCTGCATCGCACGGTGGATTCTTAACCACTGGGCCACCAGGGCAGCCCACTTCCTAAGACTGTTCTTAATTTGCAAAGTGGGATTCATCTAGTAAATTAATGGGATTAATCTAGCAACCACCTAGGTTGCTGTAAGGATTAAATTAGATCATATAAGTAATGCACTTTGTACCACCTGCTGGTGGCAGAAGGGAGCATGTTCAATCCTGTTGGCGTTTCTTTTGCCATCACGGTAGCGTTTCTACTGCTGGGCAAAGATTTTACATCCTCTGACCAAAGCACAAACCCTGTTAATGTTGCGTTCAGGGTGTAACTATGGGTCTGGACCTCCCAGAACACATCCTGTGAGGACTAGTGTATGTGCAGATGGAAAAAACCATATAAAGTGGATCAATAGGACCCAGGAGACAGTGCGAGCACAGAAATGCTGGCCAAGGAAGGAGGGAGGAGCAGAAAGAAAAGAAATCTCAAAGGACATCAGTCAGAGATGCCTTCTGACTCACACAGATCCAGTTGTCATTTTTACTAAAATGACTAACATGCAGACTTTTCGCAGCCTCTGAACTCTCTGAAGATCCGTTGGCCTCACGATGGGTTGGATGCACGTTTGACATGTTTATGGAGCTTCCTGTGTTTTTTCATTTGCAGAGGAGCTGAAGGCGCCCTTGGAGGAGTATGTCCACAAACGCTACCCTGGGCTGGTGAAGGTGGTGAGAAACCAGAAAAGAGAGGGACTGATCCGAGCTCGCATTGAGGGCTGGAAGGTGGCCACCGGCCAGGTCACCGGCTTCTTTGATGCCCACGTGGAGTTCACCGCTGGCTGGTAGGTCACAGCTAAAACCTGGAAGCACTTGGGACCTGCAGCATGGTCAGGACGTCTGGAGTCTGGGAGCTGGGGGCACTTTGCCTGTTTCTTCCGGGGCCCCGGGAAGAATGGAGAAGGGTGGGTGAAAAGAAAGTGAGACCATAGTTTGGGATAAAACTGGAAAGCAGGGAGAAATATATCTGCTGTTTACTGTCTGTCATCATCATCATATCATTACCATCATGAAAATCCCTGTGAAAATGATATTAGTTAGACAGAACTCAAGATGACCCTTGCTAAGGAGACAAGGCAGTCATATTTCTGTTGTTCTCTTTTGCTGATTTGTTTGTTTCCATTTCTGGGGAGGATGGTTAACTATTATGGGGCCAGGGGGGCGGGGGGAGAAAAGATTCATTTATAATTCTGCCTACTCAGGCAAAGCTTCCTAGAATTTATGGGATCGTCTTTAACATCATTTAGAGGAAGAGAAGGGTTTCTCTCTGCCAATATGCCCCGCCCGATTTCCTGGTAAAAAGAATAATATGAGAGAAATTGGGGGGCACACAGGGAGGAGAAGATTTTGTATGTAAGAGTGAAGCATCCAAAATGCCCAAATCAGCCAATGAGCATGTTAAAATTAGGTTCGAGCTTTACAGTCATATGATTGTTTCTAACTAACCAACGGTAAATCAAGTCAGAGGTTAAACCCCTATGCCAGTTTGCAGAGGGTTAGTAAGAAGCAGAGTCTTTAACTTCATTAATGTTTAGCTATGCTCAGTGATACTGTCTTGAGGGACTTCCCTGGTGATCCAGTGGTTGATACTCTACGCTTCCACTACAAGGGACCCAGGTTTGATGCTTGTTTGGGAAACTAAGATCCCTTGTGCTGCCCAGTACAGCCAAAAAAAAAAAAAGGAATGATACCATCTCGAATATGAGCCGTCTCACAGTACCCTATTTGAAAAACCCATATCCCATCACTAATTAAATACTGAAATGTCTATTCTTCATTTGAAGCCAACTTTAGAATCCTTTTAATGGCTGGATAAAAGGATGGTTTTGCACAGGAGCACACAATGGTATGGAACCTGGGGTCACCGTTAACATTGGCCCTTTCCTGTGCACACAGGCATCTGTTAGCATCTCAGAGCCCAGTTTTCTTCCTTGTTTATTCCTGCTACTATCAGACCCTCATACACACAGTTGTTGGTCTGCAGCCCTGACCTCTCCTGAGCCTCATCGTTATCTTGTAATCATTCTCAAAGTGTGGTCCCCAGACCAGCATCATCTGGGAACTTGTTAAAAATATATATCCTTGGGTTCCACCCAGACTACGACATCAGAAGCTCTAGGGGTGGGACCCAGCAATCTGCTTTAACCAGCCCCCACCCAGAGACTCTGCTGCTCACTCAAGTTTGGGAACCCTTGAGCAAGGATCCTTCTGAACACATGGAGCCTTCGCCTTGCCCTGTCTCACCTTTTCCTCCACATCATTCTCTCCTCCTTTCTTTCCTGTCCAGTCAGATAGCACCACCCATGGCCCCATCACTCAGTTCTTCTCTCTCCATCATGTTGTGTTAACTTATCCAATCCCCCTCCAGCTTTAGCTGGTTTTGCCTTCTATTTTACATGTCCACCTGTTCCTTTCTGTCTTGACCTCCACATTCATGGAGAGCATGTCATTGGAGTGACTTGAATATGGTGGAGAAGATGGTCTAAGAGTGGAAGGGATGAGTTGTCTACTGGGAGAAATCAAGGCAGGCTTCTTGGGAGAGGTGGCACTTGATTGGAGAAGACTATGTGGGTGGCTAGACTTCCTGCCCAGGCACAAGGGCATTCCTGGAGGACAACAGCAAGAGTGAGGATTTGGAAGGGGCAGAGCCCTGAAGCACATCTAGAAATTGCGAGAAGTCAGTCCCATTTGGCATCAGCTTGTATGGTGTGTGCAAAAGTATCAGAGGCAGTAAATGGCTCTGGGTATATTTTATTGCCCGTTTTAAATAGAAAGATGAGATGTGCCAACAGGTAATTCAATAGCTGCAAATGAAAAGAGATGGGATGGAGGCCGAGCTTTCTCATTATTCTTCCAAATAATGCAGAGGAATGGGATTTTCACTTGACTCCCTTCCAAAGCCTGCACTCTGTTCTAAGCAGGGAGATTAATGCCCTGGTTTCTGAGAGCCATCTTTTCCTTCTCAAATGTGGGAAATGATCCCTTCCTACATCTGCCTCGGAGAACACACCCTGGCAAGGGTGTCTGGCCATCTGCTTTCTCCTGAGCTGGCAGGGCTGCGCCTTGAACCCTGAGCCAGGTCCCTGCCTCTCTCCTGCTGCAGCCCCGAGGAGGCAGGCTCGCTGAGAGGCAGGATTCTGCCCACTTTTGCATTCAATTAGTTCCTGCCTGCCATCCCTAACCCATCCAATTAGATGCCTTTTAGGAAATCAATTAAATAATCAATTAAAACAACTGAAATAGTCCCACGCACAAAGAAGCTAGTGAAATGCATATTGAAACCAGGCAATCAAGGGCAGAAGTGACCTATTTGGGGAAAGACAATTCAGCTCCTGCAGAAAAAAGAAAACCGGAGGCATTGGCCAGTGCCAAAGGGGAAACTGAAAACTGTAGGAAACTGCAGGGCGGTGCAGATTCTCTCAGGAGGGCCTGGCCTTGACTTAGACTCTGTGGGTATAAAAGACAAGCCAGACTCTCTGGGGCAGAGGCCCTGGGGTTCTCAGTTCTCGCGTCTGGCCTTGCAAGCCAGCACAGGTGACAGTGTGGTGACCCCATAGGGGCATGGGCTTGAGCTGCAGGCCACGGGGCTCGTTTAAAGCCACCTGATCCGTCTAGAGCCGCCACTTGGGAGCCCGGCCTCCCTGTGAGTTCCAGCCTGCCCAAAGCCCAGCCTTCAGCTATGATGCTTCTATTCATTGTGGTCTTGAGGTCTGGGCCAGTGGGGGTACAGGTGAGCCGCAGGAGAGAGATTTTTTAAAAATTGTGTTTATTTTATGTTTTGGCTTAGTGGGTCTTTGTCGCCGCACTCGAGCTTTCTCTAATTGTGGCGAGCAGCAGCTACTCTTTGTTGGGTGCACGGGTTTCTCGTTGTGGTGGCTTCTCTGGTTGCAGGGCACAGGCTCTAGGGAGCCCGTGATACTAACTTGTGACCTGAGTTGATATTGCAGAGTCTACTAAAGGATACTTCCCAGGAGTTGCAGCTCCCGGGCTCTGGAGCACTGGCTCAGTCATTGTGGTACCCCAGCCTAGTTGCCCCTCCGCATGTGGGATCTTCTTGGACCAGGGATGGAACCCGTGTCCCTTGTATTGCAGGGTGGATTCTTAACCGCTAGACTACCAGGGAAGCCCAAAAGAGAGGTTTTTATTTCTATTTCTCTGTGTTTCAGGGCCGAACCGGTCCTCTCGCGGATCCAGGAGAACCGGAAGCGTGTGATCCTTCCCTCCATCGACAACATCAAGCAGGACACCTTCGAGGTGCAGCGCTATGAGAATTCGGCCCACGGGTACAGCTGGGAGCTATGGTGCATGTACATCAGCCCCCCGAAAGACTGGTGGGATGCTGGAGACCCTTCCCTCCCCATCAGGTCTGTGCCAAGTGCGCATGCTCCAGAGGCCTTTGCGTCCCCAGATCCCAGGCGAGGGAGGGAGGGAGAGAGGCTGCGAGAGACCACCTGGGGATGGAGCTGCGGTGGGGAAAACAGTTGCTTGAGGATATGGGATGTTTTCCCACTCAAGTTTTCTTGTTCAGAAAGGATGCTGCATTTTGCTTCTTTTTCACTAAAAATTTTCTGCCTCAGCTTATCAAACAGCAGTCCTGAAGGATGGCAGTTGATAGGAACACTGACACTTTTTTATTCTTCCTCATATTCTGTTGAACTGTGTTCAGGAGCTTTTAAGCATGAAGTTGAAAAGGTGCTTTTCCTGGGACTTTTCTCTACTTGGATGCTTTACAATTGTTGTGATGTAGGAACATGTAGAAAAGGACATTTGTGTGGCACCCAGCCCCCCATGGGTAACCCAGGGCCTTTGGACAGTTTGGTAAGACTTTTGCCCCAGACCCCAACCAGCTTCCCTTGGAGGCAAGGAGATAGGTCCTTTGTGGTGGACCAGTTGGGGAGCTGAAATATAAGGGACGGTGAATGAAGTTGGTAGATTTTGATGCCATATTCATTTCCTGTGGCTGCTATAATAAATGAACACAAATTTACTGGCTTAAAGCTGTGGTCCCCAACCTTTTTGGCACCAAGGACCTGTTTTGTGGAAGACAGTTTTTCCACAGACTGGGAGTGGGGGAGATGGTTTCAGGATGATTGGAGCCCATTACATTTATTATGCACTTTGTCTCTGTTATTATTACATTGTGATATATAATGAAGTGGACTTCCCTCGTGGCTCAGATGGTAAAGAATCTGCCTGCAATGCAGGAGACGGAAGTTAGATAACTGGGTCAGGAAGATCCCCTGGAGAAAGGAATGGCTATCCACTCCAGTATTCTTGCCTAGAGAATTCCATGGACAAAGGAGCTTGGTGGGCTACAGCCTGGTGTCGCAAAGAGTCAGGCATGACTGAATGACTAATGCTTTCACTTTCATATAGTAAAAGTAATTATACACCATATACACTATTATTCACCATAATACAGGATCAGATCATTAGGTGTTAGGTTCTCATAAGGAAGCACACAACCTAGATCCTTCACTCGCCCAGTTCACAGTAGAGTTCAAACTCCCTTGAGACTCTAATGCCTCCTCTGATCTGATGGTAGGAAATGCGAGTGATGGGGAGCCGTTGTAAACACAGGGACGCTTCGCTCACTCGCCTGCCTGCAGCTTTCCTCCTGCTGTGTAGTTTGGTTCCTAACAGGCCATAGACTGGTTCATGGCCCAAGGGTTGGGGACCCCTGGCTTAAAGCACAGAAATTTATTTTCTTACATCCTAGAGGCACTGTAGTAATCTGCAGTGAGCCTTACAGAGCTAAATGCAAGGTGTCTGCAGGCGGTTTCTTCTGGAGACTGGAGGAGAGAATCCACTGCCTTGCCTTTTCCAGCCTTTTAGGCCGTTCTCATTCCTTGGCTCATGGCTACTGCATTACTTCCCCCCCTCCGCCGCCCCGCTTCCTTCATCACGTGGCCATCTTCTTCCCTTGACTTTCCTGACTTCCTCCCATAGGGGCCTTTGTGATGACAATTGGGATCCATGTGAATAACCCACAACAATCTCCCTCTTCTTCCTGTGCTTTTTCGTATCTGTGAAGCCTTTTTTCCATATAAGGTAACATTGGCAGGTTCCAGAGATGAGGATATGGGTATTTTTCAGGAGGAAAGGGGCAGGGGGTATTGTTCAGCCCACCACACATGCTTCGATTTTCAAAGAAGTGTTACCCGAGTTATGGTTCAGTATTTTCTGTGAGTTCTACATGAGAATCAAAACTGATTTAATATCTTCATGGTTCTATGTTCAAAGAGACGGAAGGGACATCTTATTGATACTTTGCCCTTGTTTGGGGGCTGTGTTTGTGGCTGTGTTTGTTGGTATAAAGGGGCAACTGTGGAACAGGAGTGAGGACTTTCTACAAGGATCCATGAAGTTCTTTCTTAGTTTATAAAATTTTGATAAACCAGAGTAGGGTTTTGAAATGGACAGACCCCTGTTCAAACCGCTCAATCCTAAAGGAAATCAATCCTGAATGTTCATTGGAAGGACTGATGAAGCTGAAGCTCTAATGCTTTGGCTACCTGATGCAAAGAGATGACTCATTGGAAAAGACCCTGATGCTGGGAAAGATTGAATGCAAAAGGAGAAGAGAGTGGCAGAGGATGAGATGGTTAGATATCACCACCAACTCAATGGATATGAATTTGAACAAACTCCGGGAGAGAGTGAAGGACAGGAAAGCCTGGCATGCCGCAGTCCGTGGGGTCACAAAGAATCAGACACGACTTAGTGACTGAACAACAACAACCCTTGTTCCGTATTCTCTTATTTTCTAGCACAAATTGAAAGCTGACAGACTGCATTAGTGTAAAGCTACCGATGAGCTGATTTTATGCAACAGAGCAGGTAACCTTTGGGGCTAGTAACTTGCTCAGCTGGGGATGTCTCATAGCTCAGTTCCCATCCCAGCCTAGAGGTTCAGTGGCTTTGTGTACTGTGGCGGGGCTGCACTCTCAGATTTCTGCAAATAGTAATGTAGACTCATCACTAAGGTATTATCTGAAAACCAAAGCATAACCTTAAGAGATATTTGGTTGAGACATCCTTTCACATCCATCAGGATGGCTGCTATAATTTTTAAAAAGGTAAATTACAAGGGTTGGCAAGAATGTGGAGAAGTTGGAATCCTTAAGTATTGCTGGTGGGGAGATAAAAAAGGTGCAGCTGCAATGGAAAACAGTGTCATCGTCCTTAAAAATTAAAAATAGAGTTATCATATGGTCCAGCAGTTCTGCTTATGGTTATATACCCCAAAAGAGTTGAAAACAGGGTCTGAAAGGAATATTTGCACACTCATGTTCATAGCAGTGTTATTCACAATCAACAAAAGATAGAAGTAACTAAATGTCCATCAACAGATAAATGGATAAACAAAATTGTAATGAAATATTATTCAACCTTAAGAAAAAGAAGGCGGACTTCCCTGGTAGTCCAGTGGATAGCGATCCGCCTGCCACTGCAGGGGACACGGGTTCAATCCCTGGTCTTGGATGATCCCACATGCTGAGGAATCAACTAAAGCCCATGCGCCACAACTACTGAACCTGCCCTCTAGAGCTGCAACTACTAAAGCCCATATGCCCTAGAGCCCTTGCCTCTCAATGAGAGAAATCACCAGAATGAGATGCTCACGCACCACAACTAGAGTGTAACCCCCACTCACCACAACTAGAGAAAGCCCACGTGAGGCAGGGAAGACGCAGTGCACCAAAAAATAAATAAATTAATTAATTAAAAAAAAAAGAAAGACAGAAATTTTGACACATGCTACAACATGGATGACCCTTGGGCACTATATGCTAAGTGAAATAAACCAGTCATGGAAAGACAGATACTATATGAGTTCACTCTTATGAAGTACCTAGAATAACCAAATGCAGAGAGACAGGGAGTCGAGTGGTGGTTTCCAGGGGGTGGGGAGAATGGGAAAATGGGTACTTGTGATTTAGTGGGTGTAGGGTTTCAGTTTTGCAAGATGAAATGAGTTCTGGAATCTGGTTGCACAGTCTGCAAATGTATTTAATGCTGCTGAACTGTACACATAAAAATAATTAAAAACAGTACATTTTATGTTATATGTATTGTAGCAGGATTAAAAAAAAATGGGGCATGCCTAAAGACCCCAAGGCCTTCAGATCTTGAAGGGACAGGGTTCAGGCAATGGATGCAAAGTCAGTTTCATATTTCTGGCCACGCACAGCTTCCTCCCTGGCGCACAGGGAGGCTGACCTCCAGCCGTGACAGATAAGGGAATGAAAGTGTGACAGTGGAAAAGAAATGGATACAGTGCACTGCTTTGGGCTTCTCAAGTGGCTCAGTGGTAAAGAATCTGCCTGCCAGTGCAGGAGATGCAGGAGACTCCACGTTGATTCCTGGGTTGAGAAGATCACCTTGAGGAAGAAATGGCAACCCATTCCCATATTTTTGCCAGGAAAATTCCATGAACAGAGGAGCCTGGTGAGCTACAGTCAATGGGGTCACAAAAGAGTCGGACGTGACTGAGCTGCTGAGTCCACACACATACACACACACACACACAGTGCTTTGTAATGCCCAGAACACACAACTATCCCTACATATGTGAGGCACTAGGCAAAAATTGATCTTGTATTTTATGTAACATTAAGATGGTTAATATGCATTTTAAAAAGACTCAAAAAATGGAGTCATGATTATGAGTCATTAACATGACATGCATCTCTGATGTACACAATAGAATCAAATATTAATGATCTCCTTTTAATGTATCATAACTTAAGAAATGCTTAATTTGTTAATAGTTGATGGAGATATTTAATTGAAGGAAGGACTTTTTATGGTCCTTCTGATGTTATTAAGCAGATAGAATACTCTTTCTTAAATATCAGGAAGTGGTGGTTTCCCCTTCTCCTTGTGATCTCAGTGTTTTAATAGTAATGATTTTAATCTGGTAAAGGTAAAGGATGGGGTGAGGAGAACGTTTTCACCATCCATATGGCTTTAGATTGGATGAATCTTTAGCTACTGAGTCTTCCCAGTAGGCAATACAAATATAGGAGATGCTGCATTCAGGGGATGTATAGTCTTTCTGTTTTACTCTTTTTCTTCCTCTTTCTTCCTATGTATCTTTTTTCCTTCCTGTTTGGTAATCAGGGCCAAAAAACAAAACACACAAAAAAATACTGCTAGATATTCAGCCTGTTTCTCCCAGTGGAAGATCCTTTCTTTATCATTCTTAATTCGTTACTAGTCTACATGCTTTATGAAGCCAGGCCTGTAACTTTTCTGTTGTAATTCTGGAGAATAATAAGTACTTAGCACTTAGCAGGGATACTGAAACTATTTAGTGAATGAACAAATGGATGAGTGATGGATCAACATCTTTTCTGGC